ACGGCTATTTTAGTACATGTATGTGTTCTTTTTTACGCGCATTGGAGTCACGAAGTCGCATTTATTACTGCTTCATTATAATGGCGACATGCATGGTGTGGTGTGCGTTGTTTTATTGTAACCTTTGCTCTTCGTTTATGTGCAATTTTTGATTTAGAAAATTACGTGTTCCGCGAAGTGATTTAGAAAATCAGTAAAATGTAATTTTTTTTATCTGATATAATATAATGTCCTTATTTTATTATCTTATTCTTCTGAAGGGATTTAGATGGTCCTTGGAGAAAGGATTTAGCACATCCTTATAATGTGGCATCAAGCTACCAAGGGGGCATCCATTAATCACGTGATCGATTTTTTAAGGAGTTTGGTTCACTATTTGACCATTCGGTTCGAATCGACCAAACATACGTTAAAAGATAGTTTAAAAGTGTATAGAAGTCCGTGATTCATGAAGATGCTGCCAAACTCTATTAAAACACTTGCACTTTGTTTATATTGTCGAAGGACCAGATATATTTAGTTAGTGGCTATATCAGACCGATTGAAAATAATAAAAAATAAAAGATGGTGAATAAATGTTTAATTGCTGTATATTTAAATGTAACGATTTATAGACTTATAGATGATATGTTTATTAGATGAGATTTAGATATTTATATTATTGATTTAAGACAAGTCTTAAATCTTGATTAGTTGAGTATTGATTTAAGACTTGTTGCTTAGTTGAGTATTGATTTAAGATTGATTTAGCTAGATGATATGTGAGTTAATACTAAATTATAAAAGATTTTACAATTTTATATATTTTTCTGATTGGTTCATTTTGTGGTATTAAGCGACATTCCCTTACAATTTTGGATCCAATCAGTGGCTATTACATTCATCAACCAATCAGGTATTGGTCGGTGATTGCATGATACGTAGAATTAAAACTGGGTACAGGTAATCCGAGTTTCTTAGAAATATAGATTATTTACAGGATGATATATTTAGGGACAGGATGCATTACAATAAGATTGATTATTTAAGGGATGAGGGTTTATTGCTGCTATCCTGTACGAAGGTAATAAAATATAATAATTAGACCAGGTTTGGGAGTAAGGCGTTAACAGATTCTTTCAAATAAAAATTAGGTAAAAAATATGTGATATCTTACTATACCCCTTCCGCCCACGTGATTTTTTGTGTTTTTTTTTGTCAAGCTCCCCCCTCTCCCTAAAAACCTCATGATTAATAGACGCCCCCCCCCAAGTCATTAAGTTTGCAATAAAATAATTTTATTTTAGTTGTTTGTTATTTGAATGATTAAATAAATAAAGAAATGATTATATGATTTCAACTCCTATTGACTAGGAAACTTTCTGTTTCGTTTTTGGCAAAGGCAGGTTCAGCCGTTTCGGAGACAAGGGGCAAAAGTTTCACCTTATCGATGATTAACATTTAGAATCGCACATTTTATTATGTACTTAAACCATTATGAACAAAATATGGAAAAATTCAATGAAGCTCTTAAAAATATTAAAAATTACCAAAATGCTTGTATTTTTCTAAAAACGCCTTCTGATAATAATCATTCCACAATTATTTACGTCACTTATGCGATTATACGACATTATATGGACAGTCTGAGTTTGATAAAATTACAAATATTAAAGTATTGATAATATTTTCATTCATGTTTAGCAGCGGAAAGATAATTTCCTGCTAGTAATATAAAAATATATATAAATATGAAATATATGCGCATAGTTTAGCAATTTGCAATTTTCAAATCTGCTAGAAATAAGCAAAAGTTCAAAGCTAAACCTATAAAATTCAATTAAAAATTTTATTAATTTATTAACGACAAATACGAAAAATTTATCAATTTAAGTAAAAATTTTAGTGGTATTAATATTTCATAAAATAAAAAAATCGCCCTTTGTGAGACGAACAGCCCTTGGGCTGTGTTTGAAGTTCTATTGAATTTTGTATTTGCAAATTTGCAAATATTAATGAGGAAATACACAATGAACAAGAACAAATAGAATATTTTACCAACATTTGCATCAATTTAAAAGAAACGTAACTGTAAAAAAGATAGGTCATTAAACTTCTCAGTACTACCCATTTTTATTAAGATTGACAAACTATTTTTTAATGTAATCAATTTTTGACACTTTGTGGGTTTAATTACTAGGTAGTATAATTTAATATGTTTAATTTTTTTCTTGTGTAAGATCAGATAGGTTCTGTTTTAACTTTCCAACATCTCTAAGACCCTACAGTCCTATCAAAGTTTCTTATATTTTCTATAAAAATGTGATAATTTTTTACTTAAAGTCATTATCCAGTAAAACTTACACATGTTGAACTCATAAAAAATACATTGTTAAAGAAATGCCAACGGTACAACTTTCATTTATGTATATATAACGATGTATATAACCGATCATACAAAAATCATTGTTTTAGTGACCTTGTATGGTACCTCCGAAAATTAAATCATTTGAGTATTATTAAAATGGTCGATAGTGTTCACTTTATTTATTTGTTTCATTATCGCAGCACATTGGCGGCAACTGAATGATAAACGCAATGATAACAAGAAATAGAGTCGCGACTTTGCGGCAAAAAAATAACAGCACAACCGGCGTCGTCTTCTATTCGCATCCAGAACTAAACGCGACTTTATGACTCCGTGTTAATGTGAAATTTAAAATAGTCATTATGCACAATTTACTCTACTATTTTAACTCTAATTCTACTAACACCCCTTTATTGTCCATGTATACTTTTGTTGAATTATTTGACAACTTAAAGACTTCACCGGCGATTTATTTCAGAAGTATTTTTTGCATTGATATCAGTAGATATTCATGATAACAATGCTGTATTTTTGCTTACGTATAGTTATAGAATTTATTCAAACTCTCCTTCGATAATTCAGGTTGTTGGGTTATAAGTTAACCCTTGTAGCTGTGGACTGTATTATTTGTATATTATGTATTTGTTGCAGTTATAATTACAATCACTCATTTGTTACTAAGTTATAATGAAGAAGATATTTTTATTGGTTATTTACATATTGTTAAGCGGACTTTACTTTTAGAAGTGAACAACTAGTTTCATTAATATTAAACACTACGCTACCCCCTCTACCAGGGGTGGCAACCATTCCGTGTAAAGCTTAATGCCTTGAAGTTTGACACCTTTATGGCCAATATAATAAAACGAAAAGACGTCCGAACAAATGCCGTACCTCTCATTTGCCGTAAAGATTTTGTGATCCAAATCATGATCAAAGCATTCAGAATATCCATTTTACTCTACTATTGCTATATAACTATATAACGATTTGTTTTTAATTAATTCACAGACAATGCATTTGCATTCCCTGTGATACATCGCAGCAAATGCGAATTACGAAGTAATATATCAAATTCAAATCGGTGACCTAATTTTTACATACAATTAAGTAGTCTCAAACAGTCGATTAAAGGTATAAAGTTGACTTTATTCTGAAGAAAACTACTTATAGTTATTAGATATAAAGTTGAATTTACTCTTTATATTTATATGCATTATACAAGAAAAGATGATTACAATAAGCTGGAGATGCTAATTTTAAATCAGAATTATAGAGTTATATTATACTCTTCTTACAAATTGTAAGCTACAATTAGTGGATATTAGTATAAATAACAGAGAACACAGGAGTTTATCAGTTTGCTACTGATATCAACATTAAAATAGAATAGTAAAACGTGGTGTAAGTGTCATTTTGCCTAAAAGAAAGTTGCTAAAACTTACCGATATGTATATACAAAATCGAATTAATCAATAAGTATTGAGATTTTGTTACTTTTAAAATTATGATGATGAAATTTTGGAATTTTGGATCATTAATTACATTGATGATTTCATATAATTGGACCACATTTATGAGTGTATAATATTTTATACTGTTCAAGACCATAATCATTGTACACAGTTTTTATTATATACATATATGAAGTTTAGAAATCGGTATCATTTTGAAGGAAAAGTCGAGGAAAGATCAAATTTTGGCTCTCATACATATACTAAATGATTCAGAATGACTTGAAGCATCGAGAAAACATAAAATTAAAGATCCGTATTTTTTCTTATCGTTAGTTTTATATAATTCTTTCATCAATTTTCATGTTTAGACGTAACAAATGCAAAAGTTCATATCTTGCAAACATTTTTTTCTAAAACTAATATATAAGAGTACCGATTGAAAAATATTCTTCTTGGACGTTTCAGATTACATTACTAACTTCCCGAATGAGAAGTTTTTATCTCTATAAAATTGGTCTTGCTAATTGTAATAATAAATTTATCACATAGAGATAAGGACAACCGTTTGGGTTGTCTTCTGATAAAGTGAAGCATTTTAGTAAATAAATAAAATTACAACAGATTATAAGACCCAAAAGTTCTGATCGCTATTTTTCTGAGTAATAATAAGGATCCGTCCATTAATCACGTGATCCATTTCTAATGATTTTTTAACCTTCCCACCTCTACCACCAAACATCACGTATATTTTTAGTATCTGGAAAAAAGTTGAGTAAATTCTGCTAAAAAATAAGTACTCGTGATATCTTATTAGCCCCCCCTTCTCCTCAAGTGATATCTCGTAATTTTTTGTGAAACCCCCCTCCCCGTTTAAGCCTCACGTGATTGGCGCTCCATAATGCGCAAATGCAAGCAGGTCATCAAATCTGTTTATATAATAAAGAAATGTATGAAAAAATCTACAATACAATTACAATCTTTAAAACTGATATGATTATAATTTTCGCGCGTTTATAATTATCTTTGTGTGCAAACTCCTGGAAGCTCCTCCTCCAAATAAAACTGGTGACTTTGGGATTGATCAAATGGAGTGGGAGATTTCATTCTCCATATATCATTATTTCCAATCGAAAAATATCGTCATTCTAGAATTTTCTTTCGAACGGTTTTAATCAGTTACATTGTGATAGATAGCAATTAAAGTTGTTGTGTAAAGTGTTTAAAAATAATCAGTTGTTTAAAAATAAAAGTGGACTGTGTTCTAGTACCAATAATTTTTATTCATCATAAGCCAGTGGTACTAAACTATAGTTAAGTGAACGCTAGTTTTGGATGAAAATGTACATTATTTTACTTTTGTCTACAAAACCAAGGTAATTAACATTTTTATAAACTGATATGTGAAAATTTATAAGTTTATCTTCGCCATAAATTCCATCAAAGAGTAGCATCAATATTATGTAGAAATATAAAATACGTAACGTAATCTTTAAGTTTGAACTTCAAAATTTGTGCTTTTGGATCTTCATACGTCTTCAGATATTTTAACTTCCAGAACAATCATTAATTTTAATTTTTAGTTCTTTTAATTTTATTTTTTCTCGCGTTTTTTAATATGATATTTGAAAAAAAAAAACAGACAATTTATTTCCTTATAATGTAACATCATATTCACTTTTTTGTAGTGTTTAAAAATAAACGAGAAATTGCTACAGTACTAATAATTTTTACAAGTTAGTGTAAAGTTTTAAGTGAACTCTAGTTTACCCAGATAATAAACATGTTCAGAAATTCAACAAAATGGAAATTCTTCATATATTTTACCTTTTTGCAACATTTATTGATCTTCTGTCTTTTTGTTCTTTATATTTTTATGCACATGGTGTTAAAAAAAACGACATTTTATTTTATCGTGTAATACTAAAATCTAAATTCTGTGAAATATCTTTTTGAGTGCCAATTTTGAATTATAGATTTTATTGTGAGTATATTTATTGAACCTTTTTTATCTTTGAAGAGAACACGGTATTATTATTTTGTGATGCGATACATTTGATACATTTATCTACCATTTTGCTTTTTATTTGCCGGCGCCAAGTTATCATTTATCGTATCACTTAACATTTTTATTCATTACTTCAAAATATTTTTGTCTAAGTTGATATTACCTCATGGCAAAGAAAGATTATTCACATAGCAACAACTATATAGCAAATACAGTGAAAATCAATTAAAAATATATTCTTTTTAATAATATATACTCAAAAATTACATTTTTACCCTATTTGGGTTTTATCCCCATAGAACCAAATATGTAGCAAATATAGTAAAAATCAATTAAAAAGATATACCTTTTAATAACATATACTAAAAATTTTATTTTTATCATTTAAACAAGATAGCTTAAATTAAACCAATTGTTGTATCAAATATTACACACAATATGTAGAAGAAATATTTATTCAGAATATTATTTGATCATCATAATTAATCCGTTTATTTTTCTTCTTTTTTCCCTTTATTATTATTTGATTATGATTTTTCTTCCTTTTTTTTCAATGTTATCTATACTAGTATAGGACTACCAAACATTAATTACAGAATAGTAGTATTTTTTCTCATTTTAATAATAATTCGTGGCAATGCATTATTTATTTATTTATTTATTTATATGCCAATCGGCTTTATACATTAATATAATATAGTTTGCTAATTCATAACTTGTTAATAACATTATGTTATTTAGAATCATGTATAAAATTTATTGATAATATTACTATAACAATGAATATGATTGATCCATATATTTAGATTTGTGATTATGTATTTTACAAACCAAATTAATAATATAGATAATTCACTTATAACAGTTAATACTTGTAAACGTTTTTTGTTCGGAAGCATCTAGAAATTATAATGATTTTAAAATGAAGATAACGTAAAATCAAGTGATCAAAGTTCAATAAAAACTTTAAATTTTATGACGTATTATTATTTTAAAGTTGTAATTGAATAATTTTTTAAATTTATTTTTGTTTCGGCGTGGCAAATATTTATACTTTTTGTATTTTTTTGCCAATTTATTGATGATGTAATGCATCTTTAAAAAATTCATGCAATTGGAATGTTTTGTTAGAGTTAATTGGAGGTATAAAAGCCATACGACTTCAACAATTTATTAAAAATATATTGAAATATATTGAAAATTCATCACTTGTATTAACTACATAAAAGTTTAATTTATGACGGAAATGTAAATTTTAAAATAATTTCAATTCAATTGAACAAAATTACATCGTTGTACAATTTGTGTACTTCTTAATAATTGCAAGCTTTTAAGAGAAATTGACTAATAACCTTTAAGAATATTTTGTATGGACTAGATTGATTTTTTTAACATGTCTAGATTTTTTTTAATTTGTTTTGACGCAGTTAAGGTTAGTGCTCTATTGCACAAGATATCGACATCTCTCAACATGAAATATTTTGATCAGGAAATTCCAAATAAAAGTGAGGACTAGAATATTGATCATCTTGAAATGGCGGATTAAAAATGTGTTTAATTGTGTGTTTTTGAGACCTTGACATCATGTATGGATTTTAAAATCATATTAGTTCCTATTAGCCTGAATATTCTAGTGGTTTTCATGACTCTTTGAGCTTATGAAAGCCACGGTATTAGGTAGACAACCACAATTATTTAATAAATATAATTGCAGAGACCTTTAGAAATTATTTTGATAGAGCCTTTTCTTGTTTCCTTTGATAGATCACAGAATTGTATTTTTGTTCTATTAATCTATTACATTACTTGCAAAATATTCATCTTACTTGATAGCAGTGCTTGTTGTATCATAATGATATAGTCGTTGAACTTCATTGATAAGAATTAATTCCAAGCGCGCATATCATATGTTGTAGATGTAGGTCAGTGTTATCAAGGTTGAATTTATTCTCCAAATTATAATTCTAATTTTTTAACAGTAATCAGAACATGGCAGCTCCATGCACCGTTTCATCTTTACGCGTCGTTTTAGATGGCAACCCAACGGTTGGCATTAAGATTTATCCAATAATGAACATGTATTTTTTAATTTAATGCAGCAATTTCCGGGGAAGGGTATTTTTACTTGTAAACGTGTAAACACATTTTTAATTTATATTTTAAGTATGTATATTGATCCTTTATTTATATTTTTGAATTTCTTTGCTCCCAGGAGCTCAAATGCTTTCAAATTGATAAAAAAAAATCTTCGAAAGTTTTAGCTCCTAATATTAACTTTTACATACTCCAACCAAGGTTTTTTATGGAAATAACATAGGTAAAAATGAAATTGTGCTTTAGAAGTTCATAATTTAGCGACAAGTGAATCAAAATTTTGAGAATAACATTGTATTGGATCAAAGTAGACAATTTCTTTTCAATCAACTTGAATTCGACCAAAGCGATTTTCGTCTTTGACTGAAAAATAACCTAAACGAAGTTTGACAAACCAATTTTGACACTGCTCATAACTTTGCATGAGCTTAAGATGCCTTTTTACCTCTGCAGAAACATCTTACCTCTTTGGGATGATTTTTTATCTTTCCACAAATGCCAAACGCTAGCTCTGAACGGATCAAAAAACTTTTTTACTGAAAAATATCTAAACTGTCTACAAGGCTATTTTACGTTCCAGTTTTCATACAAAATGCTACTAAATACTGTCAAAATACCATGAATTTGCTGTGCTATGAGGCGTTTTACACAAACTGCAACTTCACTTATATGTTATCAAGCCATATCTCAAAGATCCAGTTATGATAACATCGTTTTTTCACATTAATGCGTTTTCTAAGACAGGTTTTCTGTCTAAAACGCCTGACTGCACAGCAACCACATAGGATTTTGACAGTTTTTAGTACCATTTTATATGAATACTGCTACATAGCACCGCCTTGCAATAATATTGGTCTATCTTACGACAGAATCGGCCTCTTATGAACCGATTCTGCCGCATAACAGACCGATGTTATGGCAAGGCTATGTTATGAAGAACTTTCCATACTAAATTTGACAAAATCCATGTGGTTGGTGTGCAGTCAGGCGTTTTTCTCAGGTTGTCAGATAGAAAACCTAACTTAGAAACCGCACAAATATCAAAAAACGATCTTAGATAACAGCGCCTTTCTGACCTAGCTTCATAGTATACAAGTGACGTTGGAGTTTAAGAGTAAAAAGCTTGAATGCACAGCAAATTCAGTATTTTTTTAAATTTTATTTTAATTACAATCTGTCACGTCAGTGACTCAGTCAGTCATTCAGTAATTGTTTTGACTTTTCTTATTATATGAATCTTGAACTGATGGCAACCCAGTAGTTGTTCAGTCCAGTTATGATTAGTCTATACTCGTAAGTATTTGCTGACATTTTTATTATATGTGTATGCAATTATACCCACGAGAGGCGATTTTCACTTGAGGCTATATTTGAGATCTATAACCTCAAGTGGAAATTTGAAATCAAAGTTGCCTGATGTCAGGCTTGGCGGCAGCGGGAATCGAACTAGCGAACATGGGATCAGTTGGTATTAGCTCACATTCTAACGGGTATCGCCACCGCTGGCCCTTGTATTCAGTATGACTCAGTAGCATAATGTATGGAATTTGGAGCGAAACATGGCCTTGCCATAACATTGGTCTGTTGTGTGGCAGAATCGGCCAATTAGACTAGGCCAGCTTACCTAAAAATTTATTTGCAACCATTTAATCTGAAACTAGCCTATAATTAGTATGCCAAGTTCGTACAATCATTCCACACGATCATCAGATGTTTAACAATACATGTATTTGTTCGTACGATGTTAGGCAGATGGATGAAAGTAAAATGAAGTTGTGAAGGCGGTTGCTCCAGTTTTTTTATGCTTATTATGATTATGATCATGTACGCATTTAAATATATTATGCGTATTTTCGTGTAATATTATGTCACCTTCGAATTAAAACAGCAATATATCTGTTCAGTATCATTAAACGCGTATATATAACTCGTACCTATTCGCGTTAGGTTTTCCCTTTGGCTCAGAGCCAAGTGCAATCGCTGTGGTGTCATCGTTTATATTATTACGGTCTCAGTAAAGTGCATAAAAATTGTAACAAAAAAGTAAAGAACGATGGAAAAGATTTAAACTGTATATTTAACATGTGTATTGCATTAAATCGTGTGTACTTTGACGTTTGTGGTCTTTTGCGTAGAAGTCTAAATGGAGACTATGCCAACGAGTCGTCTTATTGCTGTTGACTCCTAACAGATTTATTATGTTCACAAATTATACAATTATCTTACGACTTTTAGAACATACTTGTTATTAGAATTGTATCATTGTCAAATGCT